ATGGCTATTAGCCAAGAAGGGAAGGAATGCACCACCATGCTCATGGTACCCCAATACCTCTGACTAACAGAAGCAAAAGACAGAAATGGATCATTCCATAATCACCATCTTCTAGATGCTCCTTTGCAACTATGATATGGTCCACTGCTGGACACAGGAAACTGGGCAAGATGAACCATGGTCTGACCCAGTATGGCATCTCTTTATTCTTATGACTTGAATTAAAAACAAAACAAATACTCCAATATATACTGTACTAAATAGAAAAGGCTGAATTCATTGCTTGCATAACTCCATTCACTTCAATGCAGTTGCAGTAGGTATGAATTTAGCCCATGTATTAATTCCAATTGAGTAAATTTCACTTCCAAATGAACAAATAAGTTAGTTTTAGAAGTATCCAAATGCAATCAGACTGCTTACTATGCTTACTAATGGGCACCAACATGATCTTATGTCAGAACAATGCTCCAGCACAAGAGACAAGACAGGATTTTGGAGAAATATCTAAAAAGAACAAAAACAGTGGAAAATGGTATAGTTTTAGATCCTCTTCAACCTCTGCACAGCATAGGAGGCAAAGTACTCATTACTAGGAAATCTCCAATCTGTTTACAAAGAGATCAGCTTCTTTTGGATGGGAGAGATGAACAAAAGGCTAATCTTTCTTCTTCACAAGTCAATTTGCCAAGTCTGTAACTATGATAGTCCAGGGCTTATAAAGATGAAGACTGTGGATATATCAGCTAGAACTTTTCCTCAGTACTGTTTGTTCGAAGGAGATTGCTACCATCTTCTCAGTATTTTAAGTTTAGGATATATAAATATATCCCTTAACGAGGTCCCTCCAACTTGTATCTTAACACCTCATCAATTATCTACGAGAAAAGAGGATCTCTGCATCATGCCCTGGAAGTTAACACATCTTGGCTCAGGTCGATCCACATTGGAGCATGGGGTCAGTTACAACATCAAAGACCACTCACAAAGAATGACTAGCTGCCTGCTACCTCTTATATTAAAAAGCCCTGCTGGAGCAACTCCAGTAATCTTAAATGCAATACTCTGGTCCAAGGAGAGAAATAGTTGCTCTAGGTCAACATTTCTCTCCCTCATACTAGAAAGCACCCAATTTCCTCAGCAGAATTCCTACATCTTGTATGATCTTAAATACTCCATTGTAGATAAAGCTCTTTAAAAGTGAATGTTAGTACTGAGATATAGGTTGGCTCAGGAAATGAGAGGTATTTTTACCCACAGTACCTCTCAACCCTACAATTAATTATTTAGATTAATGCTATCTAACATGATCTCCCAAGATTCTTAGCAAGATTACCTGTGTTGCTTCTGCCAGGGAATCCTGGGTCATTCTAGTAAGTTTCCGCAGATATCTTCCATAAATCACAGCTATGATAGCCAGAGGGGGCACAACACTCAGAACAAACGTAGCAAGTTTTGGAGAGACAAAAAACTGGAAGAAGTAAGTATCCATGGGGTTAATATTTTGGTATACAAATAAACAAACTAGTAGAGCCTTATTGCAGTCTAGTTGCTTCTAACAGACTTTTGTAAAATTAATGTGGTCACAATTACTTTTGTCTTATTTCTTACATACAAAATGCCTATTCCTCTATTGCAGTGGGGGAATGTTATCTACTTAGAACAAAGGGCTGCAAATCAAGGGGTCTGGATTCAATTTCTGACTCTGCCACTCCTTTGATATATGGGCTTGGCCAATTCACTTAGCTAAAATTGTCATTTTACGGAGAGATTCTCTCTCAAGTGTGTTAAAAGGCATAACTTTTTAATATTTATAAAAGGTTTCAGATCTTTTAATAGAAGGTGCTACAAAAACACGAAGTATCACCATCAGCAATGAAATACTGAAGAGTAAGTTTGGTGTAAAGTAGGGATGTTAAATATGGGTTAATTGAATAGTCAATTAACCTCATGAATTCTTATCCATTACTTAACTATTTTATAGTCCCTGGGGGGTGGGTGCAATCCAGCCCCACTCCTGAGGAGCCCCCTTCTACTCCACGCTGCTGCCTCTGTATCAGAGGCAGCAACACAGGGTGCCAGGCGGGAGCTGGTCTGCAAGTGGAGCCAATTCTTATCGGTTACTTGCCTATTCTATAGTCCCTGGGGGTGGGACCGACAGCCAGTTTAAAAGCCAGCTCCCCTCATGGACCAGCGGCAGCAGCACAGGGTGGCAGCAACCCCTCCCGGGTTGAGAGGGGAGGAAAAGGGCTGAGCTCCCAGACCCGGCATGAGCCAGAACGGAGCCAGGCTGCCTGCCTGCCTAGTTCCTAATACGCTTTAAATGCAGCCGCAGCATGGGTAGGTCCTAGATGCAGCGAGAGCCAGGCCTGAGCTGGGTTGCTGGCCAGCCTGCTAAAAAATTTACTGTTGGGCTGGAGGGGGCAATCTATAACATTAACCTATAAGTTTTTGCTTAAGAGTTAATCAACTACTTAATTACATCCGTAGGGTAAAGGCATGTAGAGAACAGATATACTGCATGGTATTTTAGTGAAGTGGATGAACGAAAGACCACCAATATTCCTTACCATCTGGCCAGCTAGCAGTACCAACAAAGGTAGTTTCTATTTACTTTTCTTATGTGTCAGAAGAATGGATTTAGTTAATTGTCCTATAATATCATCTCCCACAATTAACAAGCAGCATCCAAATAGCTATGCAAAAGTAGCTTACTATTGAAAGAAGGCTTTTTTTAAAGTACTTCTTTTATTGCTGCATGTTATTTCACTTGGTTGTTTTCCTTCTGATGCTCTGAGAAGAAATTTCCAGATACATTTAAAAAATGATCCTACAGATGTATTATTAATATGATAGGCTATAAGGCATTTTTACAACAGCCTTTCAATCCATGTAATTTTTTTTCTTGTTAACCTAATAGGACCATGCCATGACAGCAATTTTTAAGCAAAACTCCTAACTGAAATCAATAAAAAAAATATTCTTAGGCAATCTATCTTGTGGGACAAGGCCCTTTACATTTATTTTAGCAGAAGACTGAAAGCCATATATTTTATCAGAGATAAAATGACTTAACTAATGCTTTAAATATTTATAGAGTCAGAAACTCAACTTTGCTGGCACTACCAAATTAGAAAGCCCTTCTTTTTTCCTGTCTGTTTTTCCTGAACAGACACCAGAAAACCATGCTTTTCATTTAAAAGGATTACCACCAAGTTTTCAATTCTCTGAGATAGGGTAGCATAACAAAACTCAGGGTAGCATAACAAAACTCAGGCCAGATAAACAACAGGGGGCAAAAGGGACATGTCAGTTTTTTATTAGCTAAAACTGATCATCATCAAAAAGTATTTTACTTGCTGTGTATCCCTGAAACTTTTTACTGATCTTTTACCTACACAAGCCATTGCCCATCTCTTACCCATTGCAAAATTCTTATCAGTATTTTGATATTTAAGTCTAATCCTGCTCACTGATTTTTTGGCACAATCTGCATGGCTTCACCAAGTTTTCAATCAGGCTAAGTGCCCACTCCTGCTCCTATTACTGTCAATAACAAAGGTTCCATTATAGGGATGTAAAATCCTGTTTAATCAGTTAACCAGTTAAATGTTATGTTTAATTGGATAATCTCTTAAATAGGGGTGGGCCAGCCAGCCAGGTTGGAGCACCTCTCCAACCAAAGCATGGTGGGCCCAGCCAGGCTGGAGCAGCCCTCTGTTCGCATCGGGCGGGGAGCTGTTCTAGCCCATCCAGGCCAGTGGTTAAACAGTAACCATCACCCGATAATGCCATTCAACAGCTAAATTCTTGGTGATATATAAATGGAGGGACCTAAGAAATGCAGTAAACAGTTCACTTTTGATCTTTCAGACAAGAAAAAAAACACACACAGAGTTCCTCCTCCATCTCTCTTATCATGGGTTTCCACTTTGTAGCAGACTCAGAACTGGCTGCCAGCAAAGTTTATTACAATATAGTACACACAAAAAACGGGATTGTAGATTTTAAGAAAACAGGAGAATAGATCTGCCTCTACAAAGTACACAGTTTGTACAGCAAACTACAGAACCTTCACACACACAGCAGTTACTGGATAGTAAGCTACACAACCTTGAACCTGCTGCAAACAGCACAAGAGAGGGGCAGAAGATGACAGACATACATACCATCATTCCAACCCCAACTGATGCCTGAGCTCCTGCACGTAGTCCATCAGAAAGGTTTTCAGTCACGGAACGTCCCAACAGTGTTGTGTCTGAAGACAAGCGGTTAATCAATTCTCCTGTGCTGGTTTTGTCAAAAAATGCAATTTCTTGCTTCAGAATAGAAGAGAACATAGTTGCTCTAAGTCGCTTCACAATTCTTTGTCCTAATAAGGAACAAAAAGGTTCACTATTTCCAGCAAGTCATGATATACCAAAAATTTTCATGCAGGATACACACAACACACTCACAAGTTCCTGACTTCATACAAGATTAATACAGTAAACTTCCAATAATCCGGCACCTTTAGGACCCAGGGGGTGCCAGATTATCAAATATGACAGACTATCGGAAGGGGGGGGGCTATGAGAGGTCTGCGGTGGAGTGGGGGGATGCGCCCCTTGGCACTGTGGGACCAACCTGGCAGCATCCCAGTAGCTCTTCCCCAGACTTCCCCGAGTCAGCCACTGGTCAGTTTCAGCAGTGGCTGAATCAGGGAAGCCGGGGGCAGAGCAGCTCCAATTGTCCAGCTGCTCCGAGCACTTCCGGGATCCAGATGGTGCCAGACCATCAGGAGTGCCGGACCACTGGATGCTGGACCACTGGAGTTTTACTGTACAAGGTTCTGCAACGTTGAAGTCATGGTACAATTTTATAAAATATTGAGATCTATACAAAATGAGTTTTAAGATCTCTCAACATTAAATAAAAATGAATTAACTATCTTAGGATGCCTACTCTTGAATTGCTTTGTTCCTTCGACATGATAAAATACACTAACAGTTCTGTCAGAAAAATCTCAACTAGCTTCACGGTCTTCTCTCAGATCATTAGACAATACTCTGTTTCTATGGCAAAGAGGAGACAACCTCCTGACCCCATTTTATTTTTACCTGCGGTCTGCATGAGGTAGACACGAATAGCATTGGCAGCAGCACCACACACAAAAATTCCACTTAGCAAGGCACAGAGGCTGGTCAGGCTGTCAGTGACATCTCCAGTGGGATCTGTATAAATTACATCGATAACTTTCCCCAGGAAGAAAGGGGCAGACATGGTGATGACACTGGAAACTGTCAGAAAGCCAACAGCAGCTGAAAACAAACCAAAAAAAGTCACTCAGTTTGTGTAAAATTTAATAGTACATATAAACTGTCCTTTACTTTCTATTCATTCTTGAGATCTCTCTATTACTAGGTCTCTATTTTGGTTCTTACATCTTGAATGGAATACTGCAAATTCAATTTTACACTGATTATTGAATGCACCAGTCTCAACAAAATTGTATATAGGAAGGTGTGTTGTGCTAATACAGAAGACTTGGATATATTTTCAAACAGGCAGCATAACATAAGACTCTCTCTTGCAAACAAAGCTGGTGTGTCTTAGCTGTTCAGTCAAACACAATCCATCACCCAAAATGTAATGGAACAAAAAAGTATACCCATTTGTGAAAGAACATTCAGGCTACATCTACCCTGCAGGCTTCTTGCGCAAAAAGCTTTTTGCGGGAGACATCTTCTGCAAAGATTTCTTGCACAAGAGTGCGTCCACACCACAAAAGTGCATGGCAAAAGCCATGCACTTTGTGCAAGAGAGCGTCCAAACTGCATGGACGCTCTCTCACAAGAAAGCTCTGATTTCTATTCACAGAATAGCCACCAGAACACCTGTGCTTTGGTGTAAAAAAAACCCTGTTGCCCATCCACACACATCTTTTTGCGCAAGAGCTCTTGTGCAAAAACGAGTTAATCCTCGTGGAAAGAGAAATACCTACACCACAAAATGCCTCTGTTCTGTCGATTCACTGTAAATTTACTTGTGCAAAAACGTGCCTGAGGTGTGGACGCTGCGCAGGTTTTGCACAAAAACCCTGTAGTGTAGACATAGCCTCAGTGAGCAGAAAAATGATCTTGTCAGAGCAACATCTGCAACCACCTATTACTACATCAGCTGTCTTTTAGAATATTTTGGTGGGTTATGTATTGCCTTGTTTCTCGTGAGCACCTGAGAAAATTTGTCTAGGCTCAAACTTTCCCCTCCACTTGGATTGCCCTTTATTTTGCCAGGGAAACTGGCAGGATACAGGGCTGAACAAAAACTACAACTGCTCCTTTTTTGATCTTGAAAGTTCTGTACTGCTCACTATGGAAGAACAGCTAGAATGTTTATGAGGAGAACATTTCTCACTTTGAGAGTGAGGTATTCACTGCCTCAGGGACTCTCTATACTACCGAAGCTCTGGACAAGTTTCAGTCATTAATGTCATCCCTATTTTAACAAACCCAATAACTGCTGGCATCTTTTTCAGCATAAAGCAGATTAGACTTGCTACCATACAGGATAAATAACAGCAGTGAAAACAGTCAGCAGCCAACGGCCTATCTATACTAGAGCTTCCAGTATTATTTTTTCAGAAGTTTCTGTAGAGTAGACAAGAAACTGAAACGTAGGAATATTGTGAAAAATAATTGTACAACTGGCATCCTCATTAAAGAGATGATTTGTTCCCTGTGTGCATTGAGTCATCTCTGCTTTGATGGCAAAAATATATTTTTACTACCATTTGTTGCTGCCAGGCCCACAGAAACAATACAACTCAAAGTGTGAATTTAATTGCTGAATTTTTGAGTCACACATGAGGAGAAGTGTTAAATTGCAGGGCCATCTGTAAAATCACAAGCACAACCTTAGTGACAACAAGGCTGTGCTATTGTGAATGGCAAATGAAAGCAACGAGGATTTCACGAGTGCAACTGAAGCCAGAATTTGGCCTAAAAAAACTTTTATTATTGGAGATGAACAAGAGTTTTATTTTCAGAACCAAGCTGAGCCTGCAGGGCTGACAGCTAGCAAAAAACGTCTTTTCTGAAAACTACACATATTTAATGTGAAAACTGCTGAACTACAAACAAACCATTTGCCAGAGAAAAAACACATTTAAAGTACTCATTTGATCTTTATAAAACTAATTCAGTTGAGTAGCAAGCAATTAGCCATCCTCACACATTTGTCTAACACCAGTAGCCTTGAGCCTAAGAGTCGCGTTTCAGGCTAGAACCTGGAACAGTATTAGTGGCTGCTCTTTTTTGCATGGAAAAAGGGAAAAGATCTATTCTGTACTCACACTACTCTTAGACTTCCCCACAGCTATCAGTACAGTCACAAATACTGTTATCCCATCTCAGAGAAGTGGCGAGTATCCAAAAACTATACTATGAAATACGGATGTCAACATGTACCGTATATTCCGGCGTACAAGACGACCTCTGATGTTAAAAAACATCCCCCAAAAATCGGGGGTCGTCTTGTACGCCGGATGCCCCGCCGCCGGAGCCCCTCCGCGGCTTTGAAAGCCTTGGGGGAAGCCGGCGGCGGGGGGTCCCAGGCGCGCATGTGCAATCTCCCTGTATTATTTTCCCATTTTTCTGACTTACTCTTGAGGGGAAGCTTTCTAAAAAATGTGGACCAGGATCTTGTGTTATGTCTGAATGTTTTTCAGGCTTGGGCCCTGCTGGAGATACTGTCATAACAAGGCACTTCAGCCAACATGAACAATTCATTTCGCTCCCAGTCTGTAATGTTACCTGTTAAACTATTTGTGAGATTTTGCCTGAACAGAGAAGTAACATTTTTTTTCTAGGACCAGAAGTTTATGATGGCAAGGATGCAATCAGACCACTGTTCACTGTACAGACCTTAATGTTGAAAGTACCAGAGGTGCTGCAGTTTGGTGCATATCAGAGCTATTATAGATTGTCACTGAATTATTGCATATTGCAAAGTGCTCAAACTTGTGTTTTTCAATTTCTTGGAAGGTGAAGGTGACTTGGTGATTAGAGTCTTGCTCTGGTTTAGGACACACACTTTGCTCCCGGTGCCTCTGGTCTGCTGGGGACCATCTCCAGCAGACCAGGGACACCGGGAGCAAAGGAGGCGGAGGGGCGCTGGGGTATAAGATGAAACCCTATCTTTTAATTAAAAAGATAGGGGGTCGTCTTATATGCCCAGTCGCCCTATACGCCGGAAAATACGGTAGTCAACTTATTGGTTAATCTTGTTGACTACATGCATCTCTCCTTCCCCCCTGCTACCTCTGTATCAGAGGCAGCAAGGGGGAGTGGGAAAAACAGGAGCCGGTGCTGGGAGGAACTGGCTTAAAAATTGGTTCCCCCCAACACCAGCTCCGTGGTGTCGCCTGTCCCCCCACACACTACTGCCTCTGATACAGAGGCAGCTACGGTTGCCAGATTGTTTCAACAAAAATACTGGACACACTTGACATTACATTACAATCTACATTACATCTTATTTAGAAAATACCGGACATTTATATTTTCTCAATTTGTTTCCCGAACAGAAAGCTCAAATACTCGACTGTCTGGTTGAAAACCGGACACCTGGCAACCCTAAAGGCAGCAGTGCAGAGGGAAGCAGGGCAGGCTGCTGTGAAACAGCCTTTGTCCGCAGCAGGCCCAGGCTTACCACAGACAGAGGCTGCTCTGTGGGAGGCTGAGCAGCCTCTGTCTGCGGGGAGCCCAGCCCCCGCCCCCAGATAGGGGCTGCTGCTACCTCACGCTGCTGGTTCTGTATCAGAGACAGCAGCACTGGGAGGCAGACAACTGGTCTGCGAGGGGAGCTGGTTTTTAAACTGGCTCCTCTCTTGAACCAGCTCCTGCATGACACCTTGCACTTCTGCCTCTGATACAGAGCCACCAGAGTGGGGTGGCAGGGGCTCCCTGGGAGAGGGGCTGGAGCACACTGGCTGCTGCCCCCGCCCCGGGGTCTATACAATAGTCGAGTAACCAGTAAGAATTCTCAACTATTTAATTACCCGATATCTAACATCCCTACTATGGGACTGATTGAGTTTTTCCTCAAAGGACAAATCCAGAAGAAAGCAATTCTGCCATTGGGTCTATTATCTGTGGCGTATTACAGGGATCCACACAACAGCATCTGCCAGTAGAAGTAGTAACACTTCATGGGCTCAGATGCCAACAATATGCAGACGACTACTGTGTTGTTCACAGTCTATAATACCACACATTCACCTGTCCCCAAGTCTGACAAAGAGATCAGAACATGGTACCAACAAACAATATGAAAGTATAAGAGTAAGTTAGGCATTTACAGTATGCCATTTTAGTAGAAGGAGATGTTAATAATAGATATAGATTTTATTACAAATGTGGTTTTTTAAATGTCAATTTTGTTCTCTTAAGATATATAGGCTATTCTATCTCAGCCTTAAAAACGCAGAGTTTCCAAATAACAGTGTTGAACTGAAATAAGAAACCTTTAAGCGTACAATATCATACAAAGTACTATATTACTCCTATTTTTTTAGTTTTGCCATTAAACATTTCAAATGGGAGTAATGCAAGTATGAACTTGAATAAAACACACAATTAATATACATCTAATTATTATCACTATCTCCCCAACTTACTCAATTCTATTGGTGTGACAAAAGTATATTCCTGGAGAGAGCTGCATATATTAATTTTTAAACAATCAACAAGTAAGATTAATTACTTAGGTAACATGCTTTTTTATAACCACAATTTTTTAAAGGATCACTACCACCTTAAATCACACTGCTGATTGAATTACTTTTTAAAAACATCATACCTTTGTTATTAAATACCTACAAAACACCATAACAAAAAGCCATTTGGCTCATTTGATAGCCCCTTTCTATACAGGTGTACTATTGAATCTCTTGTAATTATAGAAACAGAAGATGTGATCCCCATCCAGAAATCAAACTACAGGCAGTCCCCGACTTACGCGGATCCGACTTATGTCGGATCCGCACTTACGAACGGGGCTTTCTCGCCCCGGAGGTCGAGGTGGCGGATTGCTGCCTGCGAGCTCCGGGGCTTGATAGCCCCTTTCTATACAGGTGTACTATTGAATCTCTTGTAATTATAGAAACAGAAGATGTGATCCCCATCCAGAAATCAAACTACAGGCAGTCCCCGACTTACGCGGATCCGACTTATGTCGGATCCGCACTTACGAACGGGGCTTTCTCGCCCCGGAGGTCGAGGTGGCGGATTGCTGCCTGCGAGCTCCGGGGCT